TAATTAGGAGACCATTTTCCTCCGACCACGCTAGGACATGGTTTAGGCCATCCTTTAGAGACCGGAGGTGTGTCTGACTTTTGAGAGGGTGTCCAACAACCACATCGTCAGCATACTTGACCAGAAGAAAGCACTTCTTCTCCGTGATCAAAGCTGTCTACGGCTCGCCAACCAAAGGTACTGCGCCCCTTCTCAGCGCCGACGGCAGTACCCTCCTCACTGAGAAGACAGAAATTCTACAGAGGTGGACCGAACACTTTAGAGGCATCCTCAGCAGCCCCTCCACTATCTCCGACGCCGCTATCGCCCGTCTGCTTCAAGTGGAGACCAACGCTGACCTCGACCTCCCACCCTCTCTCAACGAGATCTTCAGGGCCGTACAGCAGCTCTCCAGCGGGAAAGCGCCCGGATCGGACGCAATCCCTGCCGAGCTCTACAAGCACGGTGGTCATCATCCTATGGAACATCTGACGGCGCTCGTCCACGAGATGTGCCGTCAAGGAGAAGTCCCGCAGAATTTCAAGGGCGCCACAAACGTTCACCTCTACAAGCGGAAAGGTAATCGCCAGCTCTGCGAAAACCACCGAGGCATCCCCTTGTTGAGCATCGCCGGTGAATTTTCGCGCGCATCCTTCTCAACCGTCTGAACCATCATCTGGATGGTCTGTCGTTGTGCAACGACATCCCCACTCCATATTCCGTGCTGAGACAGGCTGACCAAAGTAATTGGCCACTGGGGGATCGCGCAAGCCGGTGAGCCAGATGGCCGAGCAATCATCACGCCAGCATCCAACACGGATGATGAGATTTCGGCAATTAACAACTTGCCGGCCATCAAGCAATTAGCGCACCAGCGGGCGACAATCCTTGATGAAGGGGAGCGCGGTTAATTGCTATAGGTATGCGGTAGCATAGCGACTGCATCCTATAAATACTGAAACTTCCTGTGCACGAGTCACCCTTTTCTGCCACTGTCTCTGATGGTGGATTCAAGTGAGAATCCGAAACGTCTGGAGAATAAAGCCCTTGTTCCAGCGATCGCTTCTTCTTCTGATCAACTAATTCCTGGACCTCGCATCTTCGCATGTATCGGCATATATGGACCTCTTCGCCGCCGCCTGCGAGAACTTCAGTCTGATCATCAACACGGAGACGACGATTGTCATACACCAACACTGCCCACAATGCGTCGCAAATCATCTTGAACGGAAACCAATTTTAAGTGGTGGAGAACTTCACGTACCTGGGAAGCACCCCCTCCGTAACACCAAAATCGACGATGAAGTGGCCCGTCGGATTTCCAAGGCCAGTCAAGCCTTCGGCCGTCTGCAGAACACCGTCTGAAACTGTCACGGCCTCCATCTCAACAAGAAGCTGAAGATGTGCAAACCAATCATCGTACTGACGTTGGTGTATGGACCGGAGACCTGGCCGGTCTAAAAGAAACAGGCGCAAAGATTCAATCACTTCCACCTCAACTGTCTTCGTCAAATACTGAAGCTGAGGTGACAGGACCGGATCCCCGACACTGACGTACTGAAGCAGACGGGAGTTCTCAGCATCTATGTCATGCTGAGACAACTGCAACTGCGTTGGAGAGGCCACCTCGTGCGGATGGACAACGAGCGGCTACTCAGACGACTCTTCTATGGAGATGTCGCCACGGGTTCCAGCCGCCAAGGAGACCAAATCCGTTGATACAAGGACATTCCTGAAGCGTCTACAGATCAACCCTATCAACTGAGAAGACCTCTCTCGAAACCAACCGATCTGAAAGAGGACAGTGAGGACAGACGCTGCGATCTACGAAGCCAACCGCATTGCCGCCCCGAAAGCCAAACGAGAAGCACGCAAATTCCAACTACGCCCACCTCGCAACGCCAACGCCCAACCACCTACAACGTGTCAACAGCGCCAACGGACGTTTCGGGCGCCAAGTGGACTTATTGGACATCTTCGGACTAGTTGCAGCACTCGGATTACATCGACCGTCGTCTCTCCGTTCACCTCTCCCTAGCCTCCTACGCCGACAAATAACTCTAACCACCTTCCCGAACCACAACTCCCATCCTCCTCCTCCTCCCCCACTGCCTCAACGTCTGCCGCTGTGGCGTCTGCCATGCACATCACACAATCTTGACATACCAGCAAACACCAACACCACGACCGTCGACACCAGTGGTGAGGACCCGGTCTATACCCATCCTCTTGAGGACTGCACCTTCATCTCACACATAGGCTTGGCCGGTCACTTTTGAATACATCGCACTGAGACTGGCGACCAAATGCCTGGAGCACCAACCTACACTTGTCCCATCCACCTCTACTGTCCACACCGCACCCGCACACTCATGCACCGCATGGCTCTATAAGGCAACATGCGCGTCCATGAGAACCTGCGGCAGACCACCGCCGGCTGCATCACACCATCACATCCTCCCCCACCAGCATTTCACCACAAATCAATCTCGCCCACCTCAACCATCCAACCGCCATCTTCCACGCAAGTGGAAGGCATGCATCTCGGCTCCTTCTCAATGCGGCCCCCAGTTGCATGTGTAATCGGAGTATAAGACTGCCACGGTGCGTCGAGCGCCGTGGCTCGAAAGGGAGCCGACTGATGCCCCAACTCAGTCCACACAGTCCGTCCAGCCGTACATGTGAGTTTGTGTGGAGTGACGGACTGGTGGGCAAAGAGCCAGACTAAAGCAGTTCTTTCTCCAGCGATCTGTGATACTCTAATGTATGCGGGGAGAGTGTGTGTACTCTATGGGTAGTGGCTCTCAGTCGACGACTCAGTCGAAGGCTGTTTGGTTACCTAACCTTGAAAGGTCACGGCCCAGGCTATATGCAGGACCACGTGTCGCCCTTCTAGGTCAAAAGGTCTGACAGCGTGTGATATGCCAGTAGCAGCAAGCCATGACCCTCGCCGGCTGGTATGCGCTGGCAGTTCCCTGGTACCTGGTTCTCTGCCGGTAGATGCGCTTGCGTTCCCGCTAGGTACACAGGTAGTGGGCATGGCTGCCCCGTCATCCTCGTCGCCCTGGCTCCCTGTTGGAGCGTTGTTGTTTTTGTTGTTGTTGTTGTTGTTGTTGTTGTTGTTTTTGTTGTTGTTGTTGTTGTTTTTGTTGTTGTTGTTGTTGTTGTTGTTTTTGTTGTTGTTGTTGTTGTTGTTGCTGCTGCTGCTGCTGCTGCTGCTGCTGCTGCTGCTGCTGCTGCTGCAGTTCCCATTGCCCTTATTTCTGACTACAGGTGGGAATCTGCGATTCCTGCGCTCACAGTTGAAGGACGGTGTGGAGATGTTTGCAGTTTCCAGAGCTGTTCATCCTCGGTTCATATTCGAGTGGCGAAAAAAGTGTGAACAGTGAATTGCGCCGTTGGCAAACAGCGATCTGGCAAAAACGTTGCAACTCGCCTAACTCGACTTCAGACAAAATAATATTGTTGTGGTGGTGAAAGCGTTCATCTTTAAAATTTTTATTACCCATCTGCCGTTGTGTGATAAGCTGGTGATCTGGTCTGTTCCCCGTCCCCTGGGTATTGCGTGCATGGGACCTGGACCATCGCACAGCTTCCCTTCCTTCCTAGTTGTCGTCACGTGTAGCTCTAACTCATCCGCAGTCAGTCGGCAACGAATGGAGGGTGAGGACGTAGCCCCGTAACGGCTGTTAGTTCTTGTCGTTTTCGGGGCGACTGCAGTTTGACCGCAGTTTCGTCAAGTTCGCATCCACTGGAGCTACAACGCGATTATATCAGTGAAGAATAACAGCTCCACGGGTAAGTCCTTTGTCTTTACTAAAAGGAGGTTCATGCGACAGTAATAATTACCTGGTCATCTTTTAGTTTTATTTAGCCCTCCATAAATTTCACCGCGGGCTCTACTGGAGCTTGAAAAAGACTTCCTGTCTTGTGCTTTATTTAATCAAAGAGGTATATAGGCTTTGAGTGGGGCGTATCATTACAGAAGGCCCAGAGATAGTAAAGGAAATAAGAAGTAAGTTAATGTACTTTGCTGTCAGAACCGCATAATTTCGGGAGGGAAGGAACGGTAGAGAGTTGCTAGTTTTGAAGCTACGAGGTAGCACAAAGGCGTAGGAGGACAAAATCAAGTTTTGGAGGCTTTTCTTATATAAGAAGAAAAATGCCAATAAGATGCTGGGCATATATAGGCTAATGCAGGAGTGCTACTTTTCTAAAAAGAAGGCCTCGGAGCTCTATTTTCCATCACCGAGAACTTTAGTCGGTTTTCGTTTCGACATGGTGGCCGAGAATTTAATCCACATGTTTAGTAAAAAAAAGCCGGTTGTGCTACAGGCAGTTGCCAACAAAACCTCCATAATCAAGCAGCGTTGGTGGAGCTCTTATCTTACTATTTCGCTGCCCTGTAAGTTCTGGATGAAAGACAGATAACTACTGAGAAACTCTCTTTCTGTATCCTTTTTCAATAAGAGTGACTGAACTGTTGAGAGATAGTGTGTCCCGCGCTAGCTTTCCTTTTGACAGCATTATCCATCGTTCTAAGAAACCTGCACAGGCATCAGGAGTAGAAGGGGTGCTAAACTTGTTCATCAAGTGCTAACTGATGACTACGCCATGCCTAGGAATTTGCATGCTCCCGAAATATCAGTTCTGCTGACGGGAAATTACCTATAGTGTGCAAGTTGGCTTTCCTCGGCTTATCGTTCGAGAGTGCTGCCTCTAAAAAACGGCTTTTCAAACGGCTCATGCCAAATGCCTTAAGTCTTCTGAGGATTACAGGGCATAAGAACTTACTACTTTCAGTATCAGTATCAGTATCAGTTTATTAAGGGAAATATAGGCAAGCGCCTTTGAATTCCCTCTTGGTTACAAGTCGTCGGAGAAAAACATTGATAAATGGGAAGGTGAAAAAGGGATTTTGTACATACTCGCGGACAGCTGGCAGCTAGCCGAAAAAGAGTAATCATTGATGGTTACTTACTAATTACAAGTAGTATAAACACATAAAAGATGGTACCGGGTTATGTGAGTGGATGTGGGGGTGGTAATTGATGCAGGTCAAGTCTACACTTGAAGGAGTTCACACAGGAGGAGGTTACAACATCGGTAGGTAGGGAATTCCAGGCTGCAACCACTCTGTTACTGAAAAAGGACTTTCGTCCATTGGTTCTTGATTTCCCTGCGCGTAGTTTTAAGGGATGACCGCGCAAATTGGGCGTGTTAGCTTGGGTGAAATAATCAGTGGGATCTAAACAACAGTCTAGACCGTTGATGATGCGAAATGTTAGTATAAGGTCACCACGTAATTGCCTGTAGGAAAGGGGAAACAGGTTTAGGATTGACAGTCTGGTTTCATAGGGCAGTGCTCCCAGGCCTTGTGTCATTTTGGTCGCCCGTCTCTGGACCTTCTCCAAGACGGTATAATCCTTGGCAGTCCAGGGTCTCCACGCCTGTATGGCGTATTCTAGATGAGGTCGCACGAAGGTGCCAAATATTTTGGAAAAGCATTCAGGGTCAAAACCCATAAATGCTCGCCTAATGATTTGCAATGTGGCCGTAGCCGATTTAGCCGCCTTCGCGCAGTGCAGTGTTGGTTTGAGTGAAGATGTAATCCATACACCCAGGTCCTTCTGACTGTCAACCTGTTGCAGTGGTGTGCCGTTTAGAAAGTAGGTCCTGGGGCTGGGGGCTCTGAAGCCGCCGAGTTGAAGAAAGTTACACTTGCTTATATTGACGGGCATAAGCCAGCGCTTCGACCAGTCTTCGAGCCTGTTCAAGTTTGCTTGCAGGTGGTCTGCGTCTGCCGCATCGTGAATAACTTTCCACAATTTTATGTCGTCGGCAAACAGGATGGCATCACAGTCTAGGTCCTTGACGCAGTCATTTACGAAAACGAGGAATAACGTGGGACCTAAGACTGAGCCCTGTGGGACGCCACTCACCACGCTTACATCTGAGGACTGTTGACGCCCGACCTGCACTCTCTGGGACCGTCCAGCCAAAAAGCTCTGGATCCATACAAGAAGGCGTCCACGAATTCCAGCGTTCCGCAGTTTGTACAAGAGACGTTGATGAGGAACGCTGTCGAAAGCCTTTTTGAAGTCGATGTAGATGGCGTGCACCACCTTGCCTTCATCAAGTGCTTTGGTCCAGCGTTCGAGCGTAAAGAGCAGATTCGTGAGGCAGGACCTACCACTTCGAAAGCCGTGTTGGGCATCAGAAAGGAGATGGTGCTGTTCGAGGAACTGCACCAAGGCCTTCTTAATGATCTTCTCCATGATTTTGCAACAGATGGAGGTAAGACTCACTGGCCTGTAGTTATTCGCAGACGCACGACTTCCACCCTTAAAAAGCGGAGTGATGGTAGCGGACTTCCAGTCAGAGGGCAGGCATCCAGTAACAAATGAAGTTTGAAAGATCAAGGCTAACGGCTTGGACATTTCGGAAGCTAGTTCCTTCAGCAGCTTGGCCGGGATTGCATCAGGGCCTGGGAAGGTCGATTCTTTTAGGTTTAGTAACTCATTCCGAACAATTGTTTCGGTGAAGAAGACGGCTTCGAGGGTAGGCGTTTCATCGTCTTCATAAGCGGGTGAGGAAAAAGCAGGTTCACTTGTCACGACAGACCGGAAGAACTGAGAGAGATGTTCAGCCTTATCCTTGTCATCGGAGATTTCCACACCCTCAGCCGTTCGCAGCAGTGGGACAGGATCTTTGTTCCGTGTGCTCTGTCTTATGTAGCTGTAAAGGATTTTTGGATTAATCATGGCACGGTTCAAAAGATTCCTTTCAAAAGCTTTCCTATCTCTGGCGATGAGAATTTTGACCCGATTTCTCTGTAACTTATAACTGCTTAGGGATTCTGGCGTGCGATCCGTCAGCGATCTTTTCCATAGCTTCCTCTTCTTGTTAACTTCCTTCTTTAATGACGGAGTCAACCAGCGAGGTCTATTTGTTAGTCTTTTGCGCATGATTGGGCAGTGGTTGGAGATGAGGTTGTGGACTAACTCTTTGAACTGACACCAAGCCTCTTCGACATCGCCGGAGAGAGTGGATGCCCAGTCGATAGGACTAAGATCCTTTTTCATCTTTTCGAAATCGCCGCGCCAAATATTAGGTCGGGAATCGAGCGGTTGTGTAGGAAGGGAGAATAACGTGTATTCCCACATGAGAACTACATGGTCACTCTGACCCAACGGGGGGAGGCAATTCACAACGTCGATGTTGTCAGACGACTTGGTGGACACAAGATCGAGGCAGTTCATCTGTTGGCCCTCTCGAACTCTAGTTGGAAACATTACGTGTTGTGTGAGAAGCAGGTTGTCGGAGGTACGCAGTAGCTGCTGGTCGAATGCTGCTTCAGAGCAGTCGGCTGAGGCCGAGCTCCAGTCGATGTGAGGTGCATTAAAATCTCCAACGATGAGAGTGGTCGGCCGCGTTGAAAATAATCTGAGCTCCTCCAGCAGTTGGGCATCAGCGTCAGGGTCATTTCTCGGGGGGCGATATACTGTCAAGATATCGAGACTTTGAGAGCCCGGTGCCCTTATGGTCAGCCATAATGCTTCGGTACTACAAGTCAGTTGGGCAGTTTTTTCTGAAACGTGCAAGCCGTTCTTAACAAATGTTACTATGCCTCCACCCCTTCTATTTTCTCTGTCTCGGCGGAACAGTTGAAATCCAGGGAGCATGAGCTCGCTATCATCAACCTGTTCGGACAACCATGTTTCTGTTATTGAGATAACATCTGGATGGAGGTCGTAGGTATGGATACGGAGTTCGTCCAGTTTAGAAAGTACACTTTGCGCGTTGGTATACATGAATATGAGTTTCGAGTTCATGCGAGATTTGTTTTCAAACCCGACACGGGCTACTGGGGTAGCTGTGTAGTCATTCGGATCGGCTTGATCCAGAGGGGAGCGGAATGTCGTTTGACAATCCGGTCTTTGTAGATTGTCAAGTTTTTCTCTCCGTTGGTTTGCCGTGTTCTCAATTCCAGGACAAGTTCGCGACGTTTCATTCTCTCGGCAGGTGAGTAGTCCGGCTGAAAAAACACTCCTTTATGGGAATGCTTCAATCGAAAACGCCTGGAAAGTATTCGTTTCGCCTGCTCATTGCTACCGAGGACGATTTTTAGGGGTCGTGGTCGCGTCTTCGGAGCGGCATTTGTACGGCTACCAAGACGAAACGCCTTTAGGACTGTGACATCTTCTGTTGGTTGCAGCATTTCATTAAGGAGTTTCTGGAATTGCTCTAAGTCAGCAGCGATTCGTTCCCTGGGGGAACTGGCGGAGGACTCTGCGAGGCCCTGAATTATGACACAGTGGTCCTTGTTAAGCATTCCTCTGTTTTCTGCGATTTGGACGTCGTTGGCT